GTTTCAAAAAATTCGAAGCGGGTAGTTTTAAAACATTTCGAATTTTAAAAGCTTAGGGTTATAACTTCAAAAATTAGAATTTTTTCAAAGCTTTAAATTTTCAATATTGTCAAAAGTAACAGTCTTAGAATAATACGGATTGTAAGTCATTTACTACTAAGAAATTCGCAGAAATCTTTAAAATCGCTTATAAAATCATCCTTTATCTTTTCACCGGCTTCGCTTTTCAACAATTCTCCCCATTGCGTATTAGCAGATAACGTTCGTGCATGCAAACGTGAAATTAAATCAGATATTCCTGCCAGTGCACTTTGCGATGTAGGATCCACCTCCGCATATGCATAATATGTTTCCTACGTGGGATGTAAAGTCAAAAGCAGGAGAAAAAGTTTAGAGAAAAAAAGAACAAAGAAAACGAAAAAATATATAAACTGCAAATTTCAAAACTAAATATATTTTATAATATATATCTTATAAATGCAAAAGTAAATTAAAATTCTTGTAATACGTCATGAGTATCTATTCCAGAAAATGTGATGCAAAACTCAAAATGATTCAAGATGGCTCTCATAAAAAAAGTCACAGTACTTAAGTCACAATAAAGTCATAGTGTTTGCTTTATCACATTTGTGATAATACTATGATATCATTATGCAGTAATTGTGATAAAAGCTGCACCTCATTGTGACATTATTATGAAAAACACACATCAAAATAATATAACTTCACGTTTTTTGATAATCTCGCAGTAACATTAGAATTTATGATAATTTGACAATTGTGATGCGAGTGTGATTCTTTTGCTATGAATGGACGCTTTGTATTAACTTTTACTTACATCGAGTAACTGTTTAATTCCAAATTCCATATTTGTCTTTAATCGATAAACTATAACGCATTTGCCTGAAAATTCTTCAGTACTGCCATCTGTTATACAACAGCGTATAACTTGCTGTTCTTTACTAAGTTGCGGCGTCCATCGCCCGGATTCTGAGATTATGTAAATTCTACGTATAGTATCACGATGTAGCATGAAAATGTATTGTTGACGTAATCACCGTCGTTAACGTTATATTAAAATTGCGCGTGGAAAAAAGAAAACAGGAAAATATCCATCGTTATACCAAATGTCGGAGGACTCATAGGTTGAAGATATACAGCAATGGCTTGTCTTCCACCTTCGGCAAAGAAACTGCTAAATACATTCATGTATTCATCTTTGTCGAGAATTCCTTCTTCCAGGACCTCGGAGTCTGTGTTCAAAATATATGCCACAGTCTCCAAGACATGTTGATGCGTAATCTTTAGTAATCCTTGCCTGGCATTGCGAATTTCCTTGAATTTTGTCTAAAAAGAAATTTAAAAAATAAAAAGACCCTCTGAGCAAATTTCTTTTTAATCATATAACATTATTACAAAAAATTACAGATTATTCTTTACATTTTTATTTAAATATTATGTGTATAATTATATAAATATTATATTCATGTAAATATCATCTTCTATTCTCTTAATTTTGTAATCTTTTAATAAGTTAATCCTTTCTTTGTAAACTTGAAGTAGCAAAAATAATTCCGAGATATTTCTAATTATTTCTTTTTACTTTCTGATTACATTAAAATTCTCTTGTAAAAGGTAGTAATGTTCCAAATAAAATATATTAAATATCAGGGGATTGTCCGCGAAAGTATTATAGACCCGCAAAGGTATTTACAAGTCGCTCTTTTGTACTCTCCGTGGGTAAATCTTCTCGTGTACCAATCCTTCTCTTCACTAACTCGGCAATTCGTTGATCAATAGCTGGTTTCGTGTAATCTCGCGATGTAGGATACACGTTTGCCATTGTTGCAAGAAGAAGAAATCGTGAATGTCAACGTGTTAATAAAAGATCTTAAAAAATATATATATAACTACACAACTACGGATATGATGCGCCTCATTCTGACAATTCCTCTTCAGTCGGAAATTATGCGTATAAAGCTGGACGGACATAAATAAATGAACATCGTAGAGTATTTTTTTTTTTTCCCCCAGAAAAAGAGTAGATTTTTTCAGAAGAAGATATTAAAATATCGTGAACATATTTTATCTATAGACATAAAGTGTGTCCGGGGAGACGCTATTAGCGCTATTTGTGTCATTCTATCCTTGTTTTATGTCTAATAAATAATGAAAATAGAATGACAGAAATAGCGCACCAATAGAATAAAATAGACTAAGCTTTAGCTGCTTTCCTTTTAGGAGACACACACTGCTTTCCATTTGATGACACAAATCGACACAAGCATCGTTCTATCCTTCTTGACATTCAGAGAGTGACAAAGATAGAACGACACTTGTGTCGACTTGTGTCGATTGTGTCTCCTAAAAGGAAAGCAGCCACAGTCGACACAAGTCGACACAAGTGTCGTTCTATCTTTGTCACTCTCTGAATGTTGAACGATGCTTGTGTCGACTTGTGTCGATTTGTGTCATCAAATGGAAAGCAGTGTTTATCAACTTTTTGTTACCAGCGAATAGTGAAATTGCGACATAAAAGAGAACGTATGTAACATGCTTTCTTTGTCTTTTCGCACTTGTTTATTTGTTTGCTACCTAAGTAAACCTATATACGAGGTATTTTTTTAACAAGTAAATCACATCGATAAAATTGATAAGAAAATACATTACGTAATTAAATTTTATTATACAATAGATAATACTATGAATTACATATGTATACTTAATATTATTAATAATTATTATTATTA